GGGGGGTCGCAATATAATGTTTCACTTGTGGATGCTGATCACTGTCTCAAACTGGATATTTCTTTCAACTTCTCTTTATTATGAAGCCGCGTTGGCTGCAATTAAGGACATGTCCATGCAGTTATCGCCCTTCTCTCTACAGATCACCCGGCGGAAGCAGGCTAGGGCGCTTTCAGTCCTACATGGAACTCTAGGGACGAGGCGCGCGCTGAGGGGGCGAGGCAGAGTATGCAGCGTGCCCGGCGCTGGTGCGCTGGGGGCGGCCTACCCTCGGACGGGCAGGGGCCCCGCGTGCGCAGCGCGACGCTGGCGCCAGCCGCTCCCTCCCGCCACCTCCTGCGCCCACCCCCTCTCCTTTTCTCCCGCGGTCTCCCGCCACTCCCGCCCGCAGTGCCCATACGCTTGCTCCACCAGTTCCGAGGGGCCCGAGTCCTTGCCGATTCTCTGCGGCCAATGACAAAAAACGCGCCAAACCCAGCGTGCGCGCCAAATCCTATGCCAAAGTGTGTGAAGGCCAAGCGCGTCCCGCTGCCCGCCGCATGTCATCAGTCCCTTCCTCCTTCTTTACTTCCCTCCCTTCTCTTCTTCACTTCCTGTTTCTTTGCCATTGCCATTTCTTCCATTTTCTTTCGCCACTTTCATACTGTCGGATACAACTTGTCACCTCTTCCAGATAGTAGTTTGATTCATGTCACTATGTACTCGTTCTAAGGGCCATGTGACGACATAAGTGCAAGTATCATCACACTAACACTATTCAGAGATATTAAATAATTATTGTCAACACTTTCGTCACAGCTGTTTGTTTTTGAGCAGTGACGCCCGACGACGACGCCCCTCCCCTCTCTCATTCCGCTATGTCCGCGCCCCAATGACAAAATGCGCGCGAAAAAGATCCTCGGCGCGTGCGAGGAGATCCCCCCCCCTTCCCCCTCCTCCAGGCCGGCCGGCCGGCCCATCAAGGCCGAGCGCCTCGACGCTATAATATTATTTCATTACGGTGCTGGGGCAGCAGTGTTGTAGAAGAACCGTCATCGCTAGACTTCATCACACACACACACACACACACACACACGTCAAATTCTGTCTGCGCACACCAACTTGCCAACCGCGATGAGAAGGTAAATAAATTCGTCAATCAACTGCTCCTGTTTTTAATAATAAGGTGAATACACTACCACACAACCCTGGTACAAAAAAATAATGTATAATAAGAGTCATGAGATACTTTCAAATAACTTATATGCAAAGTTTTAGATGAGGAGTACCCGAGCCCATACTCGTTGTACACTTGACCGTACCCGCGCTCAACGCACGCATTGAACTGCTTGCAAGCTAAACTCTTTGCGACGCGTTGCAAAGAATTTTCGAGCTTCGCATTGCAAAGAATTAGTTCGTACTGCAAAGAAATTCTTTGCAAGCTGCCAGAATCCTTGCAAACTGTGTATTCGCATTGCAAATGTAGGTTAAGCCTGGAAAAAAACTAGTTTTTATTACAATTCTGCTTACAATTCTTTGCAAGCATTTTGCAGTGCTCAGTAACAGTGCAAATTGCGAAGGGTTTTTCTTCGCAATAATACAAAGGAAATTCGTTCGCAATTAGTCCGCCACAACAAAGCTGCCTTAGTCGATCGCAAGGATTCTACAGTGTACTTACTGACCGTAACCGTGTACTGCTAGTTTAATTTTTATTACCTGGACAGCAGTCGAACCAACTATACACCCCCACAGTAAGTACACCACCTGATCCTTCAGCAGCCAACGCCAGCACACACACGTGTGGGCGTAGTTTCGAAAGACACACAAACCACAGAGCAGCGGAAGAGAGAGGGGCGAAGAGGGAGAGGGCAGCGTCGTGTGGTCTATGGTCAATCAGCCTCGTGCGGTGCGTGAGCGAGCGGGCGCGACGTGCGTGCCGAAGAAAAGAACTATTATTTACGCCACGGAGCAGAAAAAATAAAAATAAAATAATGGGCAGCCTGCTTTTGTTCAACTGCTGCGGCTGGGACCGCGGCCAGTAAGACCACCCTGTTAGATTGTACATGACTTTTTTGCGTTGCTTCTCTTCAACGACCGGATGACCACACTTCAACCGGACAGCGGGACCAGATAGAGGGGAGGGGGTGCATCGCTGAAAACTAAAGTAAAATGGGTCATTTATGGAGAGAGAGGGGAGAGGGAAAATGGTTTCGACAAGAGCCATAATGGGTCCTTTCCGCAGGTACGTCATCGGGTGACATACCGAAACCACGACGTCACGTCAGAGCGGAGTGTCACCCGAGGGGGTCCCGGCAGTCATCATCCGCCCGGGTGGAACGGCGAGGGGGCAATCAGTGATCATCATCGCAAGGTGAATCACCAATCGATTCGGAAAAGAGAGAAAAATGGACACGAAAAAAGGAGAACGCCACGTCCATCAAACACAGATAGACGGACACTCCTACACGGACAAGGTTAGGGCCTTCTCCTCTCCAACCCTACTGATGAGTGTTTGGGGAGGGGATGTGGGGGCAGGCGCGCACGATAGGCCAGGGGCCAGGGGGCGTAGACGAGCGCAGGATGAGTCAGGCAACATGAACCCTTTTCCCTATGTGTGCGCTCGGACACTCGTCCCCAAAAAGCTCTCCACCGTCCACCACCCGTCTGGTTGAGGATACTGCTTGCCTCGCCTCCATAGGGGACGGACAAACTTTTCCCCGGAATGGTGTAGTTCATGTCCAACCAAAAAACTAAGAAAGCGAAACGCGCGCGACTGTGTATCATTTCCCATAATGATGCTGGCTGGACCGTGTACCCCCGGGAGGGGGCTCTTAAACAGACATCGATCTTGTCCTCCCCGACTATCTCGACTAGCATCGCAGTGGGAGGGACGCTATGGCTCGCCTGCTATAGGCCCGGACCCTAGCCACTTCCGCTCAGCCACAGCGGGGCCTTGGGCCATGGCGAGCCACTGCGATTGATTATTAGTCGGAATCATTTTTATTAACTCCTCATCCGAGTAGGGCCCAGCAGCAGATAGTAGCTATTGTGGCTAGACTCGTCCTAAATCAATTCCCTTAAATAACGCCGTCTTCTTGTTTACGTTGCCCGATATGATTCGGCGCCATTCCCCCTCACTCCACGCCCCCTCCTGCACGGATGTCGTCGTACCCTTGATTTGCACAAAAGGCTCGTGCGGAGCGTGGCCCGGCGTGGCGGGTGTCAGTTGCCCGGCGCAGGCCATCAAACGTCATTAGGCCACAATGGGTACCGGGCCGGCACCCTCGCAACTGACTAACAATACCTGGCGACGCCCAATGGTATGGTCCATGAGGCGCTCCAGCAGGAGAGACGAGCGCGTCGCGACCCGACTTCCTGGACAAGGAGAGGGCGGCGAGTTGGGCCGGCGCAAGCGACCAGCTCGCCTGGAGGATGATGTTTTTGTGCCCCCACGACTTCACATCTGTTCTCGCGTCATTCAACGTCGTGTGCCCCGCGGAATCGGATCAAATGCCCCGTCTGGGCCGACGGGCCGTGATACCATTCGATGCGCGCCGGTGCGCAGGAGGACGTCGGCCCGGCGGCAGGGAGGGGGAGGGGGGCGCCACCAGTTGCACTGCGCCGCTTGGAGAGGACTTGGCGGCCGGGCGCTATGCTCGGGCCTGGAGAAGAGGAGGACAGGGAGGGGGAGGGGGGGGGGGCGTCATCGGCCAGGTGAGAACCGCACGCGCACGGCGACGACAGCGACGCTGATGATTCGTGTGAAATTTCATACTCGGCCGACCGCAGACTGGTTGAAATGGATCCCGGTGTATCGATGAGGAGGCGTAGGTAGGTATCATCGATCCGCTGCTCATCGCGTATACCGGCATTCCTCGCAATCAGAGACGTGTCTCTCTGCGAAGCTATCAGCTGCCCAAAATGACGACGGCGGTATGGCGGCGGGATGATACGTGGTGCGGAAAATGTGTGGTCGACTTTGATCTGCATGTTTAGCACCGCGGGCAGGTAAGCGCGTCCGCCTCGCGCGCCGTTCCGCGCGACTCATTCGCCGCGCTCCGAATGGGATCGGATTGTGAGCGAGCCGCGGTGCTCGGGCCCGGCGCCGCCGGGACCACCCTGCTCGCCTCATCGGCCGGCCCTTATCACAACAAGATGATCGATGCGAGGGACGGATACAGCTTCCTCCCGACGAGATACTCTGCCATGGACCGCGAACGTTGCGCGGCGCGCTTTTAATCCAGGGGTGGATTACACTTCACGCGGATCACCTGCAGATTGAGCCGCCTCGCGCCCGCCTGACGCTGCAGCTAACACAATTTCACGGGATGCAAGGGCCGCCCCGCCGCGCCCCTACATGACGGGGCCGAATGGAATGCGCGCCAGTATAAGGCCCCCTAGAGCAAACAAGCAGCGACAGATATATATGTATATGCCCTACCAGGGCCCCGGGGCCGCGCCGGCCGTGACATACGAGGGCTTATACCGGGTGACGCGTCTTGAACTAACTACTTCCTTTAGAGGACAACGTTCACGGTCAAACAGGGCGGTCCGACGAGAAACTTAAAAAAAAAAACGAGTTAAAGGAGCAGGGGTAAAAAAAAGACCCAATGAAATAGAAAATGTGTGGCGTATTCCGCCATAGAATCCGCATCCCCGCAATCACGGAAAGTGAAGGAGCCGGTCACCCCGGAAGCGTCCCCGAGCGAGTCATAGAGTTATTTACATATCCATTCTTACCGGACTGGGCTGCTGGAGGCTCGGCTGGAGGCAAGGGGTGCGGCGCAGGCCTAGGTGGGCTCCAGAGGTGGTCCACAAATTCCGGGTCGATTATTCGATCGGCAGGCAAGACAACCGAGGCGACGGGGTGACCGCTTCATCGTAGAGTGGAACAGCCACCTGGAGGAGACGGAAAGCAGAAAAGAGAAAAATGGTAAACTGTTATGGCGAAAAAAGCCGTCCAATCAAGAACGGTAAAAAACCGTGCACTACTTTACTT